GCATCCCTTCCCTCCCACATGTCAATCGCACCACACGGCTTGGTGTCATGGGCAAACTTGCCACACCCTCCTTTCAACTCACATGTTGCAACCATGGATTTCATGCTTCCATGCAGTCTAGTGCTTTGCTATAGGCAGGTGATGGTTTTGGTCAGGGAAGCCAATCACCACAGATTAGATGACAGTGCTGGACTCCAGAATATGGTGTGTAATGAATAATGTGTAGGTGTAGTGCCAAGCACTGAAGTTTATTCATGTGAAGTAGATACATATACCTTCCCTAGTGAATACAGGAGAAAAAGTAACACATTATTTTTAGACCTTTTCAGTGTCTCTCTGTTAGCTATACCTAAATATGTCACATGCTAATTTTAGAGGGAAGACTTGAGGAACTGAAAGTTCCGCTCAGTTTTCCTATTAACAGCAAAATATTTTCTTGTAATCATGTAATGAAGGAACAGGGTGAAGTGATTAGCAGATATTGAACTGCCATGTATTGGACAGACTGTGCTTTTGTCTCTGAGCGAGATGGAAGAGCAGAGGAGCATTCGATCTGTGGTATTTTAGACCAAGCAATACTACCCAAATCCGTCTATATCATTATACAAACTGATTATGTTTCAAACAGTAAAAATGGTGAGCTGTTAACGACAGCAAGCTTGTTTACATAACTTGGTGTCACTGGAGAAATCAGTGGCAAACTCCTCAGATTCCCTTATTTGCAGGGAGGATGAACGTGATCCAGATGAATGACTCCCACAGCAAAGCCCTGAGTCCAAGCGCCGGAGGAGCCACAGTGCTCCCGAAGCACTCTGCCTCTCTGCCAGACAGCCTGGGTGAAACTTTCATCTAGCTGATAAAACACTCGTTTCTGGAAGAGACTGACTGGATTATCAGCATTATTCGGGGCTGTAGTGCAACCTGGTCTAGTGCAAGGTGTCCCTGCCCATGGCAGGGGGGTTGGAACTAGATGGTCTTTAAGGTCCCTTCCAACCCAAACCATTCTATGATTCTATGATACTTTAAGGTGATGGAAATATCCTATTTGAATTCTAAGAAAGGTTGAAATAACTATCGGTTGAGCTACCCAAGGTGTTTCAGAAGCACAAGGAGTTAATATTTTGTGTTTAATTTTTAATTTCACAAGCATGATTAAGAATTACTTGGAAATCCAGAAAGTTCTGATGGATGGCCACCTACCTCTACCCTTCAGTTGCTGGAGAGTTATTTTTTGTAACTGGGTTTTTTGGAAGTCTAGTTTATCAACGACCCATGAAAGAGTAGATGCAAAATTAGCTTAGATAGTACCAAGATAGTGGTTTTTAAATTACCGTACAGAGGTGTTTTATTCCTGGAATCTTTTGGATTCATATGCAATTTGCACTTAAAACACTATCTAAAAATGAGTGTCAGCCTCTTGCAGGCACAGGCATTAAACGGGCACTTAGTACATAAAAGCACTATTGTATCTGTGATTTCCTGCATTGAGTGTCTGTTTACGTTATTTCTCTACATCTAATTACACCTGAAGAAGAGTCTTGCCACACACTTCTTTTTTAAGTGTTAAGTGGATAAGGATAGTGTTGAATGTAGCCCTTTTAAAATCTCCTTGTATTCTTTTTCCTTACATATATATTTTACTTGGTGCATCGTCAGCTCTACAAGAGTCACCGTGATGAGAAGTACACAGGAGACAATTCCCAGTCAGGTTAGAATGCTGTCATTTACCTTTATATACCACTGTGCTTGAGGTCGTGGCCGGGTGCTTTGCTGGTATGAAATGTTGTTTCTTCCCTCTGTCGAGTCAGTGGTCAGAGCAGATGGCCAGTGATAGATGCCAGCCGCTCTGATGGTGGTTACAAATTGAGTTTGTAACCACCATTAATAATTCAGTCTCCTGTGCAGAGCTCTTGCTGCGCATTCGGAGTTAACACGCACTGCTCTTCGTTGTATTAAAACACTGTGTCTGATCCTGAAGCTGGTGTGCTTTGGCACCCCTTTCTGTCTGAAATGAATGTGAAACTCTGCTGATCTGTGCCAGCAGATCTGCTTTAGTATTTCCAAGTTTAGGACCTGTCAGCACCACCACAGGGCTAAGGTAGTGTAAGGTCTGTAGCGTCCAGACTAGAGCTAGTCATGTCCAGTCAGCGCCGACCTGTTGCAGCGTGTCTGCACAGCCTTTGCCCTGTGTCTTAGGCAGGTTTGCTTACTTGCAGAATAGCATGTTCAAGCTCTCAGTAACCTTTCTTTTTTTTTTTTTTTGAATGAAGGTGTAGAGTACAAGGGGAAAAACTCTTGTTCTGATGCTGTGTAATGTCTGAAATAACCATTTTCGCTAAGAAAGAGGCACTAAAGATCTATCTTAAGCTTGTGATGGGAGTGATCTGAGCCAGATGCAGCACTGCTGCCTGATTTTGAGGTTCTCGTGCCTTGTTATCTTCTGGCACCCAAGGCCCTTCCTGCTATGAAACACTGGACAATGTTGCTGTGCAATGTCAGGCAGCTTCTGTTTTTCACATGGGATGGGGATGGAACATACCAAGAGCATAGGAAGTGACAGCTTGACTTCTCCTACTTTTTGAAGCAGCATAAGAACATGTACAAACGTTGGAGAGCTTTGTGATGCCAATTAATAATGTTTGGGGGAGAAGAAATAATATATGCAATTTAGTGCTCTCATTACCATTGCTGCCATCGGAACTGACCCATCATGTGTTAAACCATTTGCTCCTGTATCTCTGTAATAAATGCAGGTTTTCTTTCTCATGGTTTCTTTCCTGCAAACAGGGAAAGTTGAAAATGCCTGTGAATTAAGCTGAAAAACACTTGTTACTACTTAATGCATAGTTACTGGCTTACGAATGTGTTTTACAGATTATGTGGGGCATTTAGGTTTGCTCATTGTCACAGATTTCTAAGACTGAGAAGCCATGTCCCACGAAGCCATGTTGATGGCTGTGGTGCAGTGAAAGCAGGCAACCTTGGTCACGTGTATGTGATGTAGCTGATCCTTCCCTGCAGTCCATGGTTGTGTTCTAAGATAAATTCCCAGGCCATGAGCACATACCAGTATGTGATGAAGGTAGAAAAATAATCATAGAATCATTTAGGATGGAAAAGACCTTTAAGATCATCAAGTTAACCCAGCACTACCAAGTCCACCACTAAACTGTGTTGCTAAGGACCACATCTACACCTCTCTTAAATCCCTCCAAGGATGGTGATTCCACCCACCACCCCCCTGGGTAGCCTGTTCCTGTGCCTGACAACCCTTTCAGTGAAGAAATTTTTCCTAACATCCAATGTAATCCTCCCCTGGCACAACTTGAGGCCATTTCCACTTGTCCTATCACTTGTTACTTGGGAGGAGACCAAACCCCCCCTCTCTGCACTTTCCTTTCAGGGAGCTGTAGAGAGAAGTACCAGGCTGAACAGCCCCAGTTCCCCCAGCCGCTCCTTATTGGACTTGTGGTCCAGACCCTTCCCCAGCTCCGCTGCCCTTCTCTGGACACGCTCCAGCACCTCAGTGTCTGTCTTGCAGCGAGGGGCCCAAAACTGAACACAGGATTCGAGCTGTGGCCTCACCAGTGCCAAGCCCAGGGGGACGATCACTTCCCTAGTCCTGCTGGCCACATGGTTCTGATGCAGGCCAGGATGCCACTGGCCTTCTTGGTGTATTGTGCTATTTGCAGTGGTGTGATTTGTAACACATCTGGATGGGGTGACATTCCACTCACCAGGTGAAGGAAAACTGCTTATTTAGGCATTTAAATTTTTTCAGTTGAAACTGTCATGTGGCACAGCATAGCTTTTATGGACCTGTGACTCTCCAGGTGACACTAACAAAAGTTTCCAACTTGCTGGTTGGGATTTAATACTTGTCTACAACTGCCACTTTCAGCTCTGTTTATGTGTGAGTGTTTGCTCCCACTCAAGTGCATTATGTTAAACTCCTCCAAATGTTACTGCGGGAAAGGGGTTTGAAAGAGGAATCCTATCAAATAAATTGAAGAATTTAGCATGCCTTAGTTATTCCTTGCTTTTAGCTGTTGACAGAGGAAAATGCTGCCAGTTTCTCCAGTCTGGACTTCAACAAAATAGGACAGATATAAGTTGTCTTGTAAATCTGTGATAAAGAAAATAGTTAAGACAAAAACTGTTAAAAGGGATATATTTTTAATTCTGGAGAATTATATACTACATTTCACTTTACTAAAGACAGGCTGCACATGTTCTGTCTTGTCACATGGTTATGCACATTGGTCCTTATGTTAAGAATATCAATCTTACGGTATTTCTGTTGCTTCACACTGTGGTTATCTCCCAAAAACTTGCTGGGGTCTCTGATCTTTAAGTGGCATTTCAGATACTCTGAACAGGTACTACAGAGACTCTTGAAAAGAGGCGCAAAGATGCACAGTTGCTGATTTTAAACGTAAGGGAGAGCACAGACTAATGTTATGGTAAAAAAATGAAATTTTACCTTGTTTTTTTCTTTTGAGGCTCTTTCCAGGCATTTCATCCTGCTATTGCATTTATCTGGATGTGGTAATTTCTCCTGCTGCAAATGGCAGTTTCAAGAATGACAGCTTGGTGCGTGGTTAATTTTCACAGCAACTGAATTGATAGTTTAATCATTCTCAGTATGTTGTTTTTTTCTTAAACACAGGGTACAAACAATTATTGCAATTAAAAGCAAAAGCTGTCTGAGGCTGAACTGAGCTTGGGCTGGAAGAGTGTAGATTTTTCTCACTTGGCTAAATTTCTAGGCAGTTAAACTCAGGCTTGGTCAGTGGTCGGTGGAGAACAAAAGGAACCTGCAGGAGAGGTTCAACCCACCTGCCTGAGATATCTCTCCTAAAGCAGCATCTTCCACAACTACCTTAGACAAAGACAGGCGGAAAGACTGCTGCTTTTAGGCAGCTAAAACTAGGTGAAGAGTCTCCTCTGTTCCATCAGGCATCTTGACTCCTTTGCCGAACAGCTTTCCAGGTGAACTCAGACAAGTTGCTGTAAACTGATACACACTGCGTCCCTCGTTCTGATCTGCAGAGATTACAGTGTTTCCCATACTAATGTGGTAGGGTTAAGATCATATAATTAAATGCTCAGAATTTTAGATGGAAGAGGTTTTGTACAGGTCTTGATGCATTCTTTAAATCTTTTGTTTTGTATTACAGAATCCCATTCCTTCAAGTGCAAGAACAGAAGGAAAGACTCAGCTGATGTTAAGTCAATTACATCTCAAAGTAGTGATGGTAAGAAAGTAAACTGTCAAGAATAACGCTGTAAATAAAGAACAGACTCGCCCTAGGCAACAGAAATGCAGAATGAAACAGGAACTAGACAAATTCACAGTTGATAAAAGAGATTACTCCTTTTTTTATATATATATAACTGCTGTAAAATTTCTTTATTCTGATTCACAAAACAGTGCCTCAGCATGAGCCCCAGCATCGCTACACAATGCACGCAGTGCGCGGTGCCTTCACAGGGAGGCAGAGTGGCTGTGGGATGGGGCCAGCCTGCTAAGAGCGTGTGGTGAAGCGTTCGTCCCACCTCTCTTAGAAAGCTGCAGCTTGTGTTCCTGAAGCAGTATTTTGGTCTCATTAGTGTGGGACATGATAGGATCTGTTGCTGCTGGTCACTGGAGAGCAGTACTTCTGATCCTGTTTGTGACTACTTGCTGGGGCTGGGACGGTGGCAGCAGAGGTTGCTTCCTGCCCCAGTAGGTAGCGAGAGGAACACAGCTTAGGGGAGCAGGAACAGGGTTCATTAGAGCAGCTGTATCGCTGAGGTGAGGGACATAGACGCACATGCTTTTGCAGGAGGAGCCATGGCTGACAGAGATCCACTGCAAACAAGGGACGAGTGGCAGGTACTGGGCACGAAGTGTGATGTAGCTTAAGTATAGCTGCATTTCAGTATAGCTGAAGTGACAGATGGACAGAAAAACTGACAGCAGAAGTGAGGGGTGGCTGCAAAGGAGGCACACAACAGTGCGAGACATTAAACAGCAAAGCAAGAACTTGCAGGAGGGAAGACACAGGAGGAATAAGGGATGAGGCTGGATTCTGTCATGCTGTTCCCCTGTGACAGCCTTCTGCACGCTTTAAATGCTGATTTGCACTCTGTGGCACATAAACGGTGCTCTCTTTAATGGCAGCTCCAAGTTTACAGACCCGACGGTACTCTTCCATGGCAAGGATCCACTCAATGACAATAGAAGCTCCTATCACAAAGGTGAGTCCTAAGCACTGCCTTTTCTCCAAACTCATAGAGTTTGGAGTTGCTGTCATAGGCAAGTATGTAGTTTGTGGCAGGACAGCCAGGGGTTTCCTGCACTTTGTGTTTAACAGAACTACTTAAGTCAGTTGTTCTTACCACTTTCTGCATCTCATCATCTCATTCCAAATCCTAGTCATAAGTAAGAATATTAAAAATGGGCAAAGGGGTCCTTGCTAGATGCACCACTTGTGGCAGGAACAGGACCCTGCCCTCTTGGGCCATGCCTGTTTAGGAGGACACGTGTTTCCAGTCTCACCTTTGCCTTTACCATTGATAATTACAAGACAGTGTGCGGGGGAGGGAGCCACTGCACCATATTCTGTCCTCCCACTTTCCTGTAGCCTTTTCTTCACTATCCGTGTTAACACAAACTCTGCTGTCACAAACCAGCTGCACAATCACATGTCCCGAAAACCAGGGTGCCTGCCATCTCTCGCCCTCAAACCATTTTTTCCTCTCTCCACATTTTCTCTACTCATCTGTTCATCAATCTCCCTATCTTCCAGCACCTATTAGAGCAGCTTACTCCTTTCCTTTTTCTTCTCCCTAAGCATGCCTCTGCAGCAGCTTCTGGTTGCTGGAGAAGACAGCACTGAGGCTTTCTCCCTCTTGGTCCTGGCAGTGCCAGGAGCTGCTGTGTCAGTGTTGCATTCCTAGATTGTGACTGAGACACAAGGTGGGAGGCAAAGAAGAGCCACCCTCTTCTCCCTCAACCACAGCCCAGCTGTTGCTGCCCTCTGCCCTTCACTTTCACACTGAGAAAATTGAAAGTTTTACGGCCAGTATCAGGATATCTGAGTCACATCCAGGAGTTAGTTCATTCGCTTTTTTCCTCTGGGGGCTGAGTGACTGCTTGTGAATGGCCCTTGCTATGCCCAAGGACTGGGACATGGCTAGATTTTGGACTACCACCTGCAACTATTTCAGATATTTCAGTGTCTTGTGCTTTTACTTTCCAGGCATTTGCCCTTTATAAATAACAGATGGATAACAGGGAATCAGAGCACAAGTACACATGTTCAGAGTTGTACTTAAAGGGTTGGGGGCAATTACATCGCACTTGCTGGACAGGAAGTAGCATAATCAAGCCAAGAATAAAGATTTTGTAATAAGAAAAGACAAAAGTGCCATTTACTCTTCCTCGCCTGCCTCCTTAATCTGCTTTCAGGTTATTAACATAATTAATGCTGCCCAGGAAAACAGCCCCATTACTGTAGCAGAGGCCTTGGACAGAGTTCTGGAAATCCTGCGGACAACAGAACTTTACTCCCCTCAGCTAGGTACCAAAGATGAAGATCCTCACACAAGTGATCTTGTTGGAGGTCTGATGACTGTGAGTAAAATCAGTGAAGATAAAACTACTGCTGCCAGTGTCCTACGTCACAGTTCAGTGCTCTACTGTGCTAAAATTTCACAAGCATTGGCAAGGGGACTTGTAATTCATCACCATTTCACTTAAGTATTTTGGCCTCTCTACTAACAGGAGGCACCAAGAGGTAGTAAGATATGGCCACATCTCAGTCCATTGGGTGCATTCATCCTCCTACATAAGCGAACACGGTTGCCACTGGAAACTATATCATCCAATCTGATTTGTCTCAAGGTGCTTTTTAGAAACCCTAGAAGCTTAGATGGGATTAGAAGGATTGCTTTACAGCTGCTAAAGTAGAAGACTGAGGTTACTTCATTCAGGTTCTGACTTTGGTCCTGTAACAGCAGCAACACTATCTGCCAGACACCTAGATTTCATAATGGTTTACCTCATTTTTTAACATACACCGAGCTAATCTTTTACAAAATAATGTAAAGAAAATGAAAAATAAATTATAGTCGTTAATGTGAATGATGAAATCCTACAGGTGCCAATGAAAGGGTCAATGAGGGCTGTACACTGTATAGTTAATAATACTCTTTCTCGAGTTTTCATACTAGCGGTCCTTGGATCCTTTCATGTGTTTTGGAAGACCTTAAAACAAGGATATTTCTTGTCATGCTACAATAGGAGCAGTGCTTTTAGCACCCAGGAGTAGGTACCTAGAGAGGAAGTGCATGTAGTGTGTTTGCAATTGATGCATGGATACTCTGTCTAAAACTTATGATAAACTTGCTTTTTCAGGATGGTTTAAGAAGACTGTCAGGAAATGAGTATGTGTTTTCTAAGAGTAAGCCACCGTTTAAAACTTCTTTTTGCACGTGTGACTTCTTTTGTGGATGCTAGTGACACAGAGCTCCAAGCTGATTTGCAGTGAGATGTACGTCTTCGGAAATGGCCAAGTGACTGCAGAACAAGTGCTAGACTGCCTCCATTTGGGAGTTCAAGCAGGTTCAAATAATGAAAGTAATACATTTTGAAATGTAGAAAATCAGACTAGGAAAAAACTGAATTGTCACTCAAAGGAACATTCGCTAATCTTTTTGGTTCATGTCCACATCATCTGTAATAATATAAAGCATGTATATTAGAGGCTTTTACAGACTTTCATGTAAGGAAAAGAGTTGTTTTTCGTGAAAAATAGTTGTTTCCTAAATGGAATTCTGCATGTGGGGGAAGGGGGAAATCCAGAAATGTTGTAATTCCCAAATTCCGTTTCCACAGATACGAACCTGAGCCATAGTCACCTTTCAGCGCCAAACACCATCAGTGATGTTCCGCCCTGTATCACACAGCTCCTGGATAATGAGGAAAGCTGGGACTTCAATATTTTTGAGTTGGAGGCTGTTACAAATAAAAGGTACTGAAATCCTTTCCCTGGGAGAGCACGAAGATGTTGTTGAGGAGCTGTAGCAGAAAACGCTTTGCTCTGGAAAAACTGAAGCAAGCAAGACCCAGCAAATCTGAGAGGTGTCTCTTTTTGGGTGTGTGCGTTGTTACCACCTGTCCCATTTAACAAGCTGTGCACCCATCATGGTCAAGATGCATGCACAGGTCATGGAGAGATCTGTGCAGACTGTTCTCCTCCCTGACAGCATCTGCAGCCCTCCAGCATTGTCTCCCATTCAACTTTTACCTTATTTGATTCCTATCCATTCTGTCCAGGTGACATTGTTTTGCACAGTCTGGTGTTGGTACATGCTGGGTGTCCCACAGGTGCCCCTTTTTCCTTGGTCATTTGGTCAAAAGCAAGCCTCTCACCTATATCACCCTATAATTTAGGAAGCTCTGAGCCAACTGCGGCTTTTGATTATGGGGATAAAAAACTGGGATGGAGGATAGACCAGTGACAGGTTCAAAAGCCTGAGATGTTAAAGCTTATAATGAAAGAAGACACCTGTAGTTTTGAGGTCATGCAGACCACAAGAGTAAATATGTACCCTTATACTCTGAAGACAATGGCCATTTTTGGAATTTGCATTTGCCTGGTTTTAATTTGCAGATGTTGGCTTTTGGTTATGACTTTCTCAGCTCAGGACACCTGTAGATCATCTTGCAGGAATGAAAAATGTGACTGTTAGATAGGATCCTGTAACAACATAAATGACAGCCCAGAGCGGATTTGGATTTAAGAACCACGAAGATTAGAGATCTCACCCTATTTATTGTTCCACACACAGACTCATCGCTGTCCTCTCCAGCATTACATTCACCAGACCTCAGATTCCCTCTCCAGCCAGATCACTGCTGGTAGGATTCTGGTCAGGAACTAGAAATCTGGACTACCTGAAGTCATCAGAATTCTTTGAAACAGTGAATATTTGATGTATTAGTCTTGGGCTTTTTAGCCTTCGGGATGTGCCCATGTCATGTTCAAAGTCTGTTTTTTCTCCTCAGGGGGAAAAAAAAAAAGTATTTTTGATTGACTGACAGCTGCTAAAACCACAGAAGACCTGAGCTTTCAAGAATTTTTTCTGAAGGCACAAAAATTGGTGAAACACTATTGGAACTGGATGATTTCCACAGAATTTATTAAAGTAATGTCTGAAAGGATAGTAGATGTAATAATTCGTAACCTTGGCCAGGTTTTTGAGAGGTTACAGATGTGCAATTTAAAAATGTTTAACATTTCCCACCCGCTTTTTAAGGTTTTGTCAAAACCATCGCTCTTCAGAACGTCAGAATTTTCTATTTTACAGTGGTGCTTTTTTCTTCTATTGTTTTTCAGGCCATTAGTGTATTTGGGCTTAAAAGTTTTTGCCAGGTTTGGGGTCTCTGAGTTTTTAAACTGTTCGGAAGCAACACTGAGAGCATGGCTGCAGGTGATTGAAGCCAACTACCACTCCTCCAACTCCTACCACAACTCCACACACGCGGCGGATGTCCTGCATGCTACTGCCTTCTTTCTCGGGAAGGAAAGAGTTAAGGTATACCCATCACCCAGGAGTCCTTTGGGCTATGTTTTTGGTGTGTTTACCATCTTATGTGTGTCATTCAAAAGTCAGATGTTTGCTTAAATAATGATCCTGGATTCAGAAAGTCACTCTGTCCTTAAAGTCTTCTCCTCTGATGCCTGGTGACCCACACAAGTTTCTCTAAAGTCTGTTTATATGAGCAAGGAATTTACATTTTTAAGTAGCAACCACAGGGGGGGAAACCTGGCTCTTTTCTATCTTTTGGTTACCAGCTGTTAGTAACAGCTATTAATAAAGTTTTGCAAAACTTTTGGAGAGGGAGGTGCTGTTCTCTTCTCCCTGAATCCAATGACCGTTCTAAGGGAACGGTTCAAAGCTGCCCCAGGGGAGGTTCAGACTGGACATGAGGAAGCATTGTTTTACCAAGAGGGTGGTCAAACACTGGAACGGGCTTCCTGGAGAGGTGGTCAATGCCCCGAGCCCTTCAGTGTTTAAGAGGAATTTGGACAGTGCCCTTAACAGCATGCTGTAACTTCTGGTCAGCCCTGAAGTGGTCAGGTGGTTGGACTAGGTGATCCTTGTAGGTCCCTTCCAACTGGAATATGCTGTCCTGTCCTGTCCTGAAACACACACTGTAGGAGCACCGTCAGTACAGAGGCACTCAGGTGAGCGCACAGAGTGGAAGGACACCACTACAAAATCCATCCACCATAAGAGGATTTAATGCAGATACCGCTTAGCTGACATCACAGTAAAAAGCTTCATAAAGGGAAGAGGGTTTGGGTGAGGGTGGGAGGAGGAGTTTTGGAGTAGATAACCTGTGGGCACAGTGAGTGGAAACAATTGTAAGGAGGTAGAAACCCAGCACTCAAGCTTACACTCACATATTTGTGGGTACCTTGAAATGATCAGAAATTATTTATTTTTCTCTTTTCTTGCAGGGAAGCCTTGACCATTTAGATGAGGTGGCTGCATTAATAGCTGCCACCATTCATGACGTAGACCACCCTGGGCGGACCAACTCTTTCCTGTGCAATGCAGGCAGTGAATTAGCTGTCCTTTACAACGATACGGCTGTGTTAGAGAGTCATCACACAGCACTGGCATTTCAGCTTACAACTAAAGACAGCAAATGTAACATTTTCAAGAATATTGATAGGTGGGTCTGCTGGAGGAGGGGAGTGTGCATGTCTAGATTGCTGGTTTGGGGGTTTTAGTTTGGGGCTGATGAAAGTCTACCTTCTAAACCAGAAAATATAATTTAAATAGACATTTAATCTCTTCCAGAATCCTATGTAGACTTTTTTTTTAAAAAAGGCTTTAATTCCCCCACCCCAACCTCCAATGTATATTTTTGGAAGGGTATACAGATGTTTGATAATCTTTTATGGATTACATTGCCATGGACCAGTTGGCAGTCTCCAGGCTGCATCCTGACCCACTGCCTTTTTATTGCAGGAAGCTTGGAAATTACATTTTTTTTTTTGGCCACACATTTCCACCCAAGCAGCCAGACACTGCATGCGGTGTCTGCAAGTGGCCCCATCCCTTGCTGTCACTGCTGCATTCCCATGGGACAGAAAGTGCTGGTAGTGGAGGGAGCTGAAGCTCTGGGGGAGTTGGAGGCACCCTGCTGCTGGGCGTGCACGTAGCCTGGAAGTTAACATTGCATCAGCCTAGCTTTTGCAGGGACGGGGTGGGAGAGAAAGGGATCTGAAAGGGAAAGGGCCTGACCTCTAACAGGTAATGAATTTGTCTACCCCCTCCCCATATCACTGTTGATTTTTTAAAAACCTGAGATCAGCGTTCCAAGCTAACATACAGGGAGATGGAAACGTGTGGGTGCCATTCATGGAGAAGGTGACTTAGTGTTACACAAGTATGAAACTGAGTTGTAATTTTTTACTGACTACAGCGGATTGGTCTTCATTAGGTAAAAATAACAGGAAAAAGGCAATAAAGGAATTCAGAGCTGGAGTAACCCAGAGAGTCATGATCTAGTGGATTCCTCCGACACTGGACCGTTCGTAACTCTGAAGGTGCCAGCTCACGTGGACGAGCACCTGAGCAGTGTTTTGCAGCACTGTCTGGGCAGGGATGAGCTCTGTCGGGCAGGCTTTGAGCAGGAATTGTTCTTTCCTAGAAACCACTACCGGACATTGCGCCAGGCCATTATTGATATGGTTTTGGCAACAGAGATGACGAAGCACTTCGAGCATGTGAACAAGTTTGTGAATAGCATCAACAAGCCCATGGCATCTGAAGAGACCAGCTCTCATGTAAGTGCTTGCAGGGCTTCGTGCCTTCAGACATCTTTGGTGAAGTTCTGCCAAAATAACTTTTGAGTATCATTTTCATTCGCATTGTATTAATTTGCACTGTGGTAAAGGCCAAAACACACAACTGGATTTGTGACCTTAGGCCTCAAAGTGTGAAAAATACCCCTTCTGTTTTCCTGGTTTCTACGTCTGTCTCTGCCCTTAGCTCATTTAAACACTTTGTTCATGAACCTTGCTTTCAAAGCTGCCTGGTGTTCACAGAGCATGCGGGTGGGTGCTTTTGTACATGCAAAATTCCGTGCGTGGAGTCAGGTTGGCAGCCCTGCCTCCAAACAGTGGCATTTGCCCAAGCCTGTGCCTGTAACTGAGAAACTCACCCCGACGGTTTTGCGTCTGTGTAATCTGGAGCCTTCAAGCCACGAGGAATAACTCCATTGCTTCCAGAGACCTCTTCACCCCATCCCCATTCCTGACTCTACCAAGAGATGTCCAGGTGTTTATTCCTATCAGTTTTACACCCTAATGCTCCATCACAAGCCAGGGTATATTTTCTAAGATGCCTCCAAGTTTCCCAGCCCAGGTCCCTTCTTTATGTTCTGTTGCTGCCTTTCGAGGTTGAGCACGCAGTTGGCTGACAGAGGAGAGTGTTACCTAAGCAAAGACCATCCGATCACAGCTTTGTGGAAACACTGCTTTTTGAGAAACACTGACCTTCAATTTGGTCTGATTTTTTTTTTTAGTGACATTAAAAATAAATAAAAGTAGTTTTTTTCAGTTCTCCGTAACTGGACCTTTTGCACTGTAGCCTGTCATGGGTGCCTAAACCAGTGAGGACCGGTGGTGGGGTTTACAACTTTAGGGGACAGCATTACGTCAGCTGAACTGACCTGCTTCTAGGAACTGGTGAGCTCCATTCTCACAACAGCTCGAGCTGGAAACCACCAATGATGAACTTCACTGGCTCCGTGGACACTGCACTGTACTCCCCATCACATCCAAGCTCTGGAGGGCTGACTTGATGTGGCACTGGGTCTGAATTAGCCTGATCATCTCCAGTGCCGTAAGTCCCACAGCAGAGGGGGACGTGGTTTGGGCACCGCTGCGGGCCTCATCACTGCTTCTGCGCATCGCCGTGTTTCGCGGGTTTGCCCTCGTGCCATGGGCTAAGCCAGGACAGCAGGGATCCCACTTTAGATCGCAGCCCAGGGGAAAGGAAGGTCCACACCGGTGGGTGGCATGGAATCACCTGTTCTCAGGCTCCTCTGTACTTACATGTGGACCAGACAGCTGCTTGCTCCACCGATTCCTAGAAAAGCCCTCTGAAGTTTCACTGGGAAATGTAGCTTCTCCCTCTGACGCCTTAAGTATTTTCCTGAAATTTTTCCTCCATCTCCATCCTTTCATGATCTCTGTTTTTCTGGCATCCCCGCATTACCCTGTAGGATTTAGATTCACAAGCCTCACTGAAACCATGGTGTTTCCAAGCTCTGAACACATTTCTGGGAATCTGGCTTTTATCCCACGAATGTATTTGTTCCAGCACTTCCTAAACAGCTTTTAAACACACTCCATACATTCTACTGCACTCAGCTTTTCTAACGTATAGAAGACATTTTCTTTTGACTCATTCTACTTTATTCACTGTCTCAGTGCAGACTATTTTAAAATGTGCAAGAGCTGGAGAGCAATACAAGTGGAACCACTTGTATCACAGACTTGTTATTTTCCCAGTATTAGGCTGTTCTGTTCCTTATTGTTAACAGTGTCTCTCCTTATTTTTGTTCTTGAACAGCAATTACGGAGCAGGGTTAATTTGGCAGTTCTTTGCTGGACTACCCATGCTGAAAAGAAAAATTAACTGCTAAGCATAAAATTAGAAGATTAATGCCTGAATTGGCAAGAGTCACTGCAAAATATCTCCCCATAAACCACAAAGACATTAATTTAGCCATGGTGGTAAAGAGTATTTATGGTCAATTTTTGATTCAGGAGTTGAATTTAGCAGTGAAAGGTGGCCATAATTACACAAATATATTATTTCGAGAATAGTGTTAATGCCATGGTGAGCTGAGGTGGAGGCTTTTTATTACTCAGTCAGGAACATAATATACCTGTGCCCTTCTAAACTGTTCAAGACACAGAAGATGATGCCACAGCAGACATGTAACAACTACTCTGTCCTCTCCACCTGGTCTCCAGAGCAGTCAATAAGCAGTTTCGTATTTTACTGCCCAGCGAGCAGAGACATTCTGCAGTCATTCTGCCACTCCTGCATTTTCCTACTGCTAATCTCAGATTATCTGAGGCTTCATCCTAGCTAGTAATTAAGACCAAGAAGTATTCCAGGCTGAGGGTTCAAAATCCAGCACAAAGGCAGCAGTTTTATTTGAAAATATACTGGAACTGAATGGCACCGACCTGCTTTTTTTGCCTGTAAAAGAAACAGTTGGGCAAATCAGTGCAGCCCCCTCAGTCCCTCCTCAACTGTCTCATCTAGGAATTAAAGCCACACTCTATAAACTCACCTAAATGAAGCAGCCCCCTCTACCGTCACCACCCTCAAACTTAAACACTCAGCAGTAAGGATCAGCTTGCAGTAGTTGGATGCGTGTCCTGGCATGGCCCTGTTCCAAGAGGGCAAGGCTAGGATGCAGAGAAGGGTAACTCACCCCAGCAGATCAGGAGCCTGTGATTCCTTTATTTCACAAACACTGCTATTAATTCTGAGAATCTCCACACTGACACAGGCAATGGTGCTATCGTTAGTTACTTAGCAAGGCTGCAGCTCTCGGACATCACTTTCTCCTCCAAATTCCTGGTGATCTGCATGAAATTAGGTGTCAGGCTGGGTGCCCACTTACTGCCTAAGTGCAGCAGAGCTGATAACGACGCCCTCACTCCTGCTAGCAGGGATGCTAGCCACTGGCCCCTGTAACCAACCCTCTTTTACAGAGCGAAGGCAGCGACTGTGAATGTACAGCCAATATAAAGAATTTTCCAGATAACCAGACACTGATCAAGCGCATGATGATTAAATGTGCAGATGTAGCAAATCCATGTCGCCCCCTAGAGCTATGTATCGAATGGGCAGGGAGGATTTCGGAGGAGTATTTTGCACAGGTATGTATATTTTGGTAATTTGGTTATGATGTTATGTGAGAAAGTGCACTTCGGCTGTTCCACACGGGTCTGCCTGGCATCACCACGGAGTCCAGGCGCGTGCTCTTCATCCCCACTCAGAACTAGCCCCTCTCTTTCATGCAGAATTCACCCCAGGCGACGTTAGCTAGTTTGCTTACCATGAAGCTTGCGGTACAGAATGGTCAAGGATGCTTTACGCTTTCAACTTTCTCCGTCTGGCCAAAACAAAATGATTTGATTAACCTTAATTTAATTGGCTGAAATTCAAGACTGTCACCATTCCAACTTTCAGTCGCAAAACTTTCCCTGCAGAGAGCACGAAGACCCATGCCTGACAAAGCCCTCAACTAATCATGAGGCTAGCCCATTCTCTTCTGAGACGGCACCTGAGCTACTGTCACAGTAGGCAGACAGTGTGGCAGGCCAGCACTTCAGGCAGGTGGGCAGTGTAAAATGCTTATCCCATGGCATCTCTCCAAACAGAAATGGAAGATCATATTCAGTTTTTCTAACAGAAATGCACCAGCTTCCTGAAAGCAAGACGCTCCCCTCGTTCTTTACCTGAACAACTGATAGATTCTTAGCTTTTATTGGTGGGAAATCAGCAGCTGCAACTGGAGAGGCTGACAGGCGTGCCTACCATCTAGTTCAGATCATACATGTCATAGTGATTACGGAAAGCAAATAGAAGTTAGTGCCTGGGACATGTGTGAATTTCATTTTAATCATAATTAATAAATTTTGTCCCTCCCTAGGTTAAGATCAAGGATCACTCAAGTTGTATCTCCCTATCAGTCAAAGTATCATGAGCTAGCTTTGAGCGGCCAGTCTTAGGCAGCTGCAGCAGCGTGAAGTGCTGAGAACTGTTCTGCTCCTCATGCACCTCATCCGATAATTCTGGGGACTGCCCTGCTGCCAATTCCAACATTAAGTCCTGCCTATACTGCTTAAAATGTTCTTTTGTTAATTGAATTTTGACACTATGGGATGTGCTTGGCTCCTCCACCATAGTGATCCCAACAAAACCAGTCCTCTTCCAGCTGGGACACAGAGTTGAAGGGCACGCCCTCATGTCTATTCATTTTACAATGCAGTACGGGCAGATGAAGCAGCAGCAGCAACATCCCTCTTACTTAAAAGACAAATGGTTTGAAACAGACACTAGAGATGTGGAAGAAGGAAAGATCAAACCTGTCCTCTGCTAGACTCTGCAACCCCATTTTCCATTTTTAGCTGGTGTGCCCTAATCACCAGATTAGAGCGTTCTGTCTCGTCAGAGCAAAGAGTAATCACAGCACTGCAGTAACAGAGTACTTGCAAAAGGGAAGAGATGTTGATTTCAGTCCCTATGCCAGATGAAATAAAGCACATGAAACTAAGGCAGTTCACCTCAGGGATTCTAAGGTTTGTCTCAAATCTCCTGGTGCAGTTCATCTGGAGAGCAGCCCTGAGGAGAA